CATTAAAATACCAACAGCATAGTTCACAGATCTAGAACAAACATTTCAAAAATTTATATGGAACCAAAAAAGACCCCGAATAGCTGCAGCCATCTTGAGAAAAAAGAACAGAGTGGGAAGGATCACATTACCGGATTTCAAACTGTATTACAAGGCCATTGTAATCAAAACACCCTGGTATTGGTACAACAACAGGTGTATATATATCAATGGAACAGAACAGAGACCCCAGAAATAGACCCACGCCATTATGGGTTAATATTTGACAAAGGAGGCAAGAGTATCCAATGGAGTAAATACGGTCTCTTCAATAAATGCTGCTGGGAAAATTGGACAGATACATGCAAAAGAATGAAACTAGACCACTAACTTTCACCATACACAAAAATAAACTCAAAGTGGATAAAAGACTTAAATGTAAGTCACGAAACCATAAAAATCCTGGAAGAAAACATAGGCAGTAAAGTCACAGACATCTCACGTAGTGGACTTTTCAAAGATAGATCTCCTAGGGCAAGAGAAACAAAAGAAAAATAAACATATGGGACTACATCAAATTAAATAGCTCTGTACAGCAAAAGAAAACTTTAGCCTCAACATACAAAGGAACCGCACGGTCTGAGAAAACATATTTGCCAAGGATGTATCTGATAAGGGGCTAATTTCTGAAGTGTACAAAGAACTCATAGCACTCAGCAAGAGGAAGACAAACAACCCAATTAAGAAATGGGCAAAGGACTTGAATAGACACTTCTCCAAAGAGGACATACAGATGGCCAAGAGACACAGGAGAAAATGCTCAATGTCGCTAATCATTAGAGAGATGCAGCTTAAAACCACAATGAGGTATCACATCACACTTGTCAGAATGGCTCCCATCGACAAATTAACAAACGGCAAGTGCTGGCAAGGATGTGGAGAAAGGGGAACCCTAGTACACTGCTGGTGGGAATGCAGACTGGTGCAGCCACTATGGAAAACAGTATGGAGGTTCCTCAAAAAATTAGAAATGGAGCTGCCTTTTGACCCAGTGATTCCACTCCTAGGAATGTATCCTAAGAATCCTGAAACANGAAACACTAATCAGAAAGAATATATGGACTCCTATGTTCATAGCAGCACAGTTTACAAAAACTAAGGTCTGGAAACAGCCCAGGTGCCCATCAGTAGATGAGTGGGTAAAAAAGCTGTAGGACATTTACACCATAGAATACTATGCAGCTGTAAAGAAGAATAATCTTGTACCCTTTGGGACATTATGGATGGACCTGAAGAAAATTATGCTAAGTGAAATAAGCCAGGCTGAGAAACACAAACATCACATAATCTCGCTTATACGTGGAATCTAAAGAACTTAATGAACTGATGAACAGAATAGATTCAATGACATAGATGCATAGATGAGACTGATGAATGTCAGAGGGATGGAGGAGGGGAGAAGGTGGAGGGGGAGAGAGTAACCAAAGAATTTATATGCATATATGCACAACCCAAGGACACGGACAATGGTGGGGAGAGGGACTGGGGATGGGGATGGGAAGGTGTGAAAAGGTCATTGGGGAGAAAAAGCGACATCTCTAATATTTTAAACAAAAATAAAATTTAAAAACATAAAAAAAATTACAGAATTTACCCCCCAAAAAGTGCATTTGACGGCTTGAATAAAAATAATGCGAATTACAAATAAAACCTGATTAACATATTAGGCTTCTCAACTAGAAATCTGTCGGGCATGTTTGCTTAGGTCCAGAGGCCTGAGCATGAACCACTTGGGGGCGGGACTGTCACCTCACCAGCTGGAAGTCAAGGTTCCTCTTTGCTAAACCCTCTTCTCCTGGAGTTTTAGTGGGGTCTGTAGCCTGAGTTGACCATTTGCAAAGTTTTCTCTATAAAAGATAAAAGCATTTTTATAAAATGAGATTATTAAAATATTAGAGGGACACAAGGAAAGAAGCTCTGTAAGACAGATTTTCCAAGAATCCAAATTCCTCCCTGGTTTTTAAAGAAGCAATTTCACTTAGAAAACTGCGTGGGACTGTGGAAAACCATTCACAATATGTATTTGACAAGGAAATGAAGGCATTTTTTTTTGCCTTTTTTTTTTTTTTTGCCACAAAAAACACATTTATGAAAGAATGGAAAGGCAGAAAGAGTTACAATGTAAGTAGAGGTACCCACAATGATAAGCCCATCAAGTCTGCTATTTCTTTGGGTTGACTTCTTTTGGAAGTTGACTTTAAATAGAGATGCAAAAATCCTTTCTCCTAGACATAAACCAGGTATTAAATCTGTACTGTTCAGTATGGTAGCTGCTAACCACATGTGACTATTTAGATTTAAACAAATTAAATAAAATAAACCATTTTTTTTTTCTCATTTACACCAGCCACACTGCAAATGCTCAACAGCTACATGTGGCTAGTGGCTCCTGCACTGGACAGTGCAGATGTAGACCATTTCCATCTCTGCAGAAAGTTCTATTGGAGAGCGTATCTCTAAATCCTATGAGTGTTAAGACATGGCATGAAAGGCACTAGAACACAAACTCCCTGAGGTTAGAGGCTTTGTGTTATATGTTCATTACCTAGAGTACTCAGTAGGCACACTATGAATGTTTTAAAAGAAATAAATAAATGAATATGTGATAGACCCAGAGTTATGAGAGAGCCACATTGAAGAAGCCTCTGCTGGCTTCTGTGAGCCATCTCCCAGCCTTGTACCTAATCCAGAGTAGCAGTTTTTGTCGACATGCTTCCAAATAGCAGAAAATTGGCTATAAGTCATGCCTCACAGGTCTGTTCCATTTTAATGACTTTGAGGAATGTTAATATAGGTTACAAGTTTGAATATAGGCTAACATTTAATATAGCCTAAAGTTTTAGTACAGCAGAAAAATTCTTTTTTATAGGGTTACAAAAATATTATTTTCAAAACTGAAATTAAAATTTGGGAGCTTTCTATAAAATAAAAGAGTTTGAAATTCAGTTGGTTCATAGCATGCTTGTGGTAGGACCAGCTTGACTGAACTCATGTTTTTAGAAATACCAATACTTACGAATGCATCGCCCCAGTGGATCAGCATAATAATTTTCCTGGCACTCACTGCAGTGTTTCCCATCATAGCCTAATTTACACGGACACTGGCCTGTAACCTGGGAGAACATTCATGGGTGAGGAATTGACAAGCTTTCTGATCTAAAAAAAATAATGCATTTTAATACAAAACAGTTTTTCCTCCAGTGATTTAGAACATACAGCTGTGCAAAGTCAGAGGAAGGATGATTCCCACGGCCAGCAACCACCCCCAACAATCCTGAGAATCCCAAGGATAGGGGAGTTAATGTGTTTTGGCTTAGGGCTCCTGAATATACCGCCTGCTTCCAGCTGTTCAAGGGCAGGTGGCCCCAAACTGGGAAACATACAGAGATGTAAATGAAAACAAAACACATAATGGGAAACGGGCCACATTATTTTCCTCTTCAGTTGTGGGAGTTCTCCCAAAACACAGAGAGGCTAAAGACCTGGACTAACATTCATCAATTAATTTGGCAAATAATGTTTCCATGATGGAATGTCTGATGGTGTTTCTCCCAATTGGGCCAGTGCTTTGCTCAACAAAACATTATTTTGCACTTGAGGTTTAATCATCTAATGACAGTTATTTAACTGTGTTTTTGGGACAGGGTTGAACTTTTTTGTACCCTCCCAACTGGATTCTTGACTAGCTTTTTTCAAAACTGAGGAGGTTACACAATTAACAAGAGAAAAAGATAGAAGCAAATCACTATTATAGTGGTCCTAGGTTATACTTGACCAAACCTGCTTAAACAACTCTACCAGTATGCTTCCAGTGAATAAATAGCTTGATTCAAAAATCAACTGCATCTACTACATCGCTACTCATCTTTGGAGTAACCAGTATCTTCTGTTCAAATATAGAGAGTTATAGGGCTCTTGCTGCTCCTGAGGGCTGTCATATTGCTGGTTGTCCTTGATTGTTGGGTAGTGCTTTATTACACTGATGCAGAATCTGTTCCTTGTAGCTTGTTTCCATCATTCTGAGGCCTGACTTGTGGGTTGCACAAAACAGGCAGCCTCCCCTTTCCTCTTACAGTCCTCTTCCAAACTATAGTAATTCTCAGCTTGTGTTTGCTCCTCTTCTTCAAGATGACCCCCCCTAATTTCTTCAAGCCTTCATCACAGGATAGCATAGCTCTATCCACTATCCTGGTTGTCTCTTTTGGACACATATTAGTTTGTGAATATAATGTTTAAAATGTGGCACTCAGAATGACAGCAGTGCTCATGGAGCCATCTGGCTAGTACAGAGGACAATGGGACAACAACTGCCCTGAACCTGGGTATGGCCCTCCCCCTACTCCAGCCTGAATGGGAATCACCTCCTTGACAGCCCATCCACACAGCTGCCTCACTTGAAGCACAAAATGAAAAGCCTCAGATGTTTTTCACTTGAGCTGGTGCCAAGTTATTACTCCCACCCTGTATTTATGCAAATTTTTAAAACACAATTGCAAAACTTGACTTGTATCCTGGTAACATTTCATCTTGTTTCCAGACAACAAGACAGCCTATTAGGATATCTTGTCTCTTGTTCTGTCTTTATCACATTAGCTTACAACTTTACAATATCCACAAATCTGATAAGCCTGTTTCTCCAATCCCATCTTACACTGTTGAAAATATTGGACGGCACATTTGGATCTCTGTAAAAATACACTGGGGACCACCTACTGGCTGAGATGGTGACATTTATTATAGTTGTTTAAACAGCTGAGAATCTAAATGTCCACATGTCTCCCTTGCACTCCAATGAAAGTGTTTTCTAATAGTAAAGAGCAGCCTTCCCCTCGGAATTCCCTATGGGATAGACAATACCAAGTCTTCTTGTCAGAAGGAGCTCTTTGGTTAAACTAGTTCCATCTGATTTTCAGCTTCACAGACTTCCTTCAGTCTGCATGATTAAACTGTGCTCTCTGTTGAGTGCTGCTACAAATATGCTTCCCAAAAGGTCTAAGAAGAATGCCAGAGAATGATGTCATGAACATTAGGAGTTCCTCATGAATTAGAAAGCCAAGCAGTCATGTGGCTATCTACCAATTTATTCCATGATTGGTGGATGCAGGAGTGAAGAATGAAGGGGAACATATGAAACAGGCATGGTCATCTGGTGCCCAGATCTTGGTTTCTAATACCATTCTCCAAAAAAGGGAAACAACACTCCTTGAAGAAATGGCTGATTCTAGAAAAGGGGCAGGAAATAGACAAGATGAGCTTAGTAACTTTAAAGTACCTTGCCTGGTCACAGTGGCTACCATGAGAGTTCTGAGGGTCACAGTCACATAGCTGACATCCTCTGTTGGGGACCAGGTTCCAATATCCATCAGCACAATGGTCACAGGTCCGCCCTGTGATGTTGGGCAGACAAGGGCATGTGCCAGCATTCGGGTCACAGATGCAAGCTCCCGGACCAGGGGAACACTCAGTGGTATTCACACCGGAAAGATGACAGGAGCATCCTGAGATAACAGGAGGTAAATTCAGTAATAACACTGGCTTTCAACAACCCATGCAAACAGCTTTTTAGACCTGGATATATCATTTCTCCAAAGGGTTCAACACCTTACAATAGTACAGAATTTATCAGAGAATTAAATAGGTTGAACCCATTCAACTCTTGTTGATCTCCCAAAACATCAGTCTCATGTGGTTGTGCTGACTACATTCAAAGAGCTCACAATTAGAAAGACTGCGAGTCTCACTTTTTCCCCCATGCCATTCACCAAAGTTCCATTTATGAAAAGATCTGAAAACAAATGGTTTACTAGATTGACTTGAGTGAACTGAAATAGTTAAGATATCTCCTAAAAAAGAGTGGTTTATTTTTCCTCTTTCTTTATCCTAGAATTAAACCTATGTCTTCTTCTACATCAATAATTCTTGTATTTATTAAAGTCACTTGATGAGCTTGTCACAACACAGATTCCTGGGCCTCCCAGAGATTCAATTCAGTGGGTCTGAAGTACAGCCCAGGAATCTACATCTTAACACCTCATCCCTATCCCCAGATGACTGGCACAGTGCACCTTGGACCATACTCTGAGGAACAATGCTCAAAATCTACTAGGGCAACAGTCAGAAAAAGCAAACTAATAATACCAGTGAGTATATTATAACTGCACCCATTTCTTCTGATGAGTTCTGTGCCCTGGCCCATCACCCACTGGGCACTGCCACTCCTGGCCTAACTGAAATGAGCAGGGAAGAGCTGCCACAACACTTATGAGCTGCAACTCTGCTGCCACATTATCCCTGGGAGCCTTGCAGACTTACTTTTGCAGGTTTGATTGAAGGCTGATCCAAAGTGACCAGGTTTGCAAAGCTGGCAGTTGGGCCCCTGAGTGTTGTACAGACATTTAAGGCACTCCCCTGTTACTTGGCTGCAGAACTCTGGATCAGTAACATCAATGTTGTTGTAGGCACATGGTCAGCAAGGTGCTCCAGAAATTCTTGGATTTCCATAGAAACCAGCAGAGCATTCTTCACATTGCTTACCTGAAAGATGGAGAGAGGAAAAGGGAATGAGATGAGAGGGGTGTGTGTATGTGTGTGTGTGTTGGGAGAGGGTGGGTGGAGATTGGTATAAACAGAGACTAATTGGGCTCCTCTGGGGATAATGAGAGGTCTCACTTTGAGGATGAATAAGGAAAAGTGTTCTGATTTAAAACAAAACATTCATTTTAATTTATTATTCATTCAGAGGGTAAAATGACTATTCAGAGCTAAAAAGTACTTGGTGAATAATAGATTCTAGTCTTTCTTAAAAACCTAGAGTCGTGGGCATAGCACCCCTGGATCCTTATAGAACCAGGGTCACTTGAGTGTACCCCAGGACCCAAAGCTTATTTCAGCCCTTCTCCTCCCCAGGCCCAATGCTCATGGGGTCCTAGAGGTAAAACAGCAGCAGCCCGAGATATGTATCTAGAAGTAAAGATGGCTGAAAGTAGTTTCCTTGATGTATGAGTCTAAGAGGGTGTTCTTATTAAACACTGTATGGAGAAACCAGCCCTTCTCTCCTATACTCTTTACCCTTCCAGCCATGAGGCAATTGCATTTGTTCAGGTGCCCAAACTGGGTCTACTCGCCGCATTTTGATTCATCCCATTTAGAAATGCTTTGGTAACCTAGTCTTGTTCTCAATTCTTGAAAACTGGGCCACCAAGCCAAAGTGTACATGGAGAAAAGACTATAAGAAAAGAGGTAAGAATTAACTAGAGACATGTGTAACCATAGAGGTAACAAATAATAAAAATGTTAGCCATGCAATTTATTATCATGATGGTATTTATCACTGAGGAAAATAAGAGCATCATATTTCTAAGTGTGATTAAATCAAGTGGACCTCATAAGTTTTCCTCCCTGTGTACATTACATATTTACACTCATGCTTAAACTATGCAAAATAAAACTTTTCATTGAGCAACAGATACAAATATTGAATTAATGCAGTCTCTATTCAATGCCCAAGTCAGTGCTTCCAGACTTCTGAAAAAATTAGTTGTGTCTGTGAAATACCAAATTGATTGCTTGGAATTATACAAAGAAAGCATTTGACTGGTTAATTTTTTTTTATTTTTTAAATTGCTTATGTTATATGTAATATATATCACATATATTTACTTAGTCACATATATATCTTAACATGTGATGATTTTATTTTAAGGAAATTAATTTGGTTTAAACTCATTTGGTCTGTTAGTTTTCCAGAACAGTATTAAAATTTATAGCTCAATGGGATGAGTTTTAAATTGTCATTTAAAAAAATATATCTTTATTGATTTCAGAGAAAGGAAGGGAGAGGGAGAGAGAGATAAAAACATCAATGATGGGAGAGTCATCATTGATCGGCTGCCTCCTGCAGGCCCCCTACTGGGGATGGAGCCTGCAACCGGGGCATGTGCCCTGACTGGAAATTGAACCGAGATCCCCTGGATCCTAGGTTGGTGCTCAACCACTGAGCCATGCCCAGCCGGGAAGTCATTGGTTTTTGAATCACTCAAATTCTTTGTTCATAAAGCAGCAATTTATCAAATTGTGTCTTCTTACTATTAATTTATATTCTGTAACACTCATTTGACCAAGGCAGATAAATTATTAACATATGATTATTTTTCAGATAGCAGAGTGAAATAAAAGGAAAACAACTATCATAAAGTATTCTGCCTACCTGCATAACCTTGAGGACAATTGCAGATTACATCCGAGTTCAAAGGATTTTGATAGCAGGAATGGGCAAAATACTGATTGCTGGAGGGAACATCTGGACATGGACAAGGATGGCAGGGCTGTCCTGAAGAAGGATTTCCATAGTAACCATCGATGCATCTGTCAAGGCAATTTCTTTTCATCAAAATGTTCCCAGGAAAAGCTTACGTGTTAGCCAGCGTGCATTTGTTATGCATTAGGACCATGCAGCTCGGAAAACTCAGTATTTTAGATGATGCCTATTTGCTCTGCACAAGGATTTTTTGCTATTGAAAGTCCCATGGTACAGTCATTAAATTCAGTATAATAGCACTTAATTTACATCTCTTATTTCAGAAATATAAAAACCCAGGTGCCAGGCAAATGTCTGTTATTAATTTAATAGACACTGTCTGGCTTAAAACAAGATTTTGAAGGATGTCAGAATGACACTCTACCTTCCCCACCCAGAGCAATCATTCTACACTTAAACACTGTTGAGTTTCTACTCAATGGTCCTTTCAAGAGTGTTGTGAAATCAGAACAAAAGAAAAAAATTAAAAAATAAAAGTACATATGAATTCCATACCTTTCACAGTTTCTTCCAGTTGTAAACCCCCAACAACTGAAGCATGATCCTGTTTCTGGATTACAAAGCTCAGCAAACGAATTACAAAGGCAAGGGTGGCAGCTGGGAAATCCAAAATAGACCTGCAGGCACTGGTCTCAATGGAGGCCAGTCACCTCTTCCTGGCAGGGGCACTGTCCTGTTATTTGGTCACATACAGTGCTCTTTGAACCTTGAGGGTGGCAGCGACATGCTAGATAAACATGCAAAGAGAAGCATGTTGGTGGGGGCAAGTGGTGTGCTGGTGCAAGAGGTACAGTTCTAATGTTGCANCGACATGCTAGATAAAGCAAAGAGAAGCATGTTGGTGGGGGCAAGTGGTGTGCTGGTGCAAGAGGTNTGACATGCTAGATAAACATGCAAAGAGAAGCATGTTGGTGGGGGCAAGTGGTGTGCTGGTGCAAGAGGTACAGTTCTAATGTTGCAGTCCCTAACTCACCGTCTCATCCCAATCAAGGTGAATAGAGCGAGTCTCTGGAGCAGAGCCTGGCATAGAGCGAGTACCAGGTGACTTGGTTAAATAACAATTCACCCCTTCATTCAACAAACAGTAAGCTGTGAACAATTGGGTCTGATAAATGTTGTTTACATAGAGGAACTGAATAAGTAACGTGTTTCTAATGACTTGAGCTTTTATATATCTTGGCAGTCAAACTTGAAGACTATAAAAAATATCAGACCCACCCCCCCCACACACACACAAGATGGTCAGATTTTTCTTTTTCCTAGACAAGATAGCAAAGGCTCAGTCCTTTTCTGCTAAATTGTTGAATCATTTGAGCTGATCTTCCACATACAAAAAAAAATGTGATGTCTGTTTGTTTGGCAGGGTGCTGCATGGAAGAAATGTTTGCTCCTTTGTGTATCTCAAGCACTTCATAATTTTTTTAAAAAAAGGAAAAAAAAATGGTGATGGACCTAAGCTCTTTGATGGGCTATTTGCTAGATAGGCAATGACCAGGAAGGTGTGCCGTCTCTCCAAATCATGACTGAAAAGGTGTTTCCCTACCTGAAAAGAGAATTCATGTACCTGGTGTTTTTCATGGTTCCTAAGGCAGGTTTCTGTGGGGAACAGTATTTTCACTAATGGTTTACATGGTGAACAAAGAACTGTATACCCTGACATGACAGCCATGATAACTGGATTTACGCCTGAAGGTGAAGCCCCATCTAAGTCCACAAAATGAGTTCTGAGACTTTGTGACCCCAAGCATCAGAAAGCATAATATCCTGGTCACAGTGTTGTCCCCTTTCTCAACTTCCCAATCTCATCATTGTTTTAGCCTTTCCAGCCACCAGGCTTACGCACCTGATTGTACAGCTGGGTTTGCACAGCCAACTCCCTTCATGGTGTTCCCACAGCCTACCTGGACTACCCTCTCTCTGACACAGACTGCAAACTCCCAGAAGCATGGACCATGGTTTTATCATACTCATGCTTCCTAGCAGAGCTCTGCACAGTGAATGGATGAATGAAAGACAGTAGAAAAAATTTCAGTATATTTTATCTACATAGTCTGAGTAATGTAGTCAAATTCCCAATCCTCTCCCCTTTTAGACTCCCCACATCAATTTTCCTGCCTTCAAAGCTCCAAGGTTGTGAACAAGAGTGTTTCCACCATCTTTTTTTTGTTACATACAGTGACAGCCATGATGCCCCAAACCGTAGCTTCCTGTTGAGCACCTGTCACAGTGGCGCCCGGCTACACGAGGCTTACACTGGCACTGGCCTCCAAGTGGGCTGCAGCTGGTCCCGGCCGAGCCCTGGGGGTGACACTTACAGGCTGCAAGAAACAAAAGAAGAAAGTTAGAGGTGAAGGAAGTGACAGAGGACCACCTTATGCTCTTAGTAGCTTTAGTTCGCCTCTCTTTCATTTGGTGCCTCTCCAGTCCTTAATCCCTTATCTATTAAAGGGGGATAATATAGGATCTACTTCATGGGATTATAAGGATTAAAGGTAATAATGCCTGTGAAGTACTTAGAACAGTGTTTGGCATATAGTAAGTGCTCAATAAACATTACTTAAATATAACAACAATAAACATTACTTAAGTTTAATGAAAGGCTTAAAATAAGTTGTTTTAATAATTAATTGTTCCAATTTAATATTATTATTGATATTATTATTACTTCAATTCCTGATTATCTATGTTGGTGCTGGACTATACCTTTGATTTTTCTTTTTTTTTTTTTTTAAAAATTACTGATTTTTATATATATAGAGAAAAAGAAACATTGATTTGTTGTTCCACTTATTTATGCATTCATTGGTTGATTCTTGTAAGTGCCCTCACTAGGAATCGAACCTGCAACCTTGGCTTATCAGGACAACACTCTAACCAACTGAACTTACCTTTGATTTTTCTTATTCCATATTTTTCACCAGATTGTGGACACCCTGAAGCTATAGCCCTTCAATATGATGGAAAAAGCATTTGCCTGGAACTTATGAAGCCCAGGCTCTCACTGTAGCTGTCACTCTATAGCAACTGTTTCTCAGCTGGGGAGAATTTTGCTCCCAGAGGGCATATGTCACCATTTGGAGACATTTTTGGACATTACAACCAGAACAAGGGTGCTACTGGTATCAGGTGGGTAGAGGGTAGGGAGGTTGCTAAATATCTTATAATGCACAGGACACATCCCACCCCTATCCCCACAACTAAGCATTATCCAGGCCCAAACTGGGAAATTGCCAAGGGTAAGAAACCTGCTCTATAGCTTAGTGCAATGGACAAGTAATGTTTTTGGACACTAGTCGTCTCATTTATTAAATGAAGGTTTGGGGATGAAAGAAGTTGTTTAGAGTTTATTTCAGCCCTAAAATCCGAGGATTCTAAATAAATACATGTTTTAGGACTATTGTTCCAACAATCTAGCATTTTAAAGCTACTGCAAGGCTCCACTTTTTATGTAATTCCTGTACTGCACATTATGATTCCAACACAAGAACAGACTGTGTATTTAGTCATTGGGCAAGTGATTGGTTGTTTGGAATAGATGATAAAGTACATTAAATTGATTCACTCATGTCCCCAAAAGCATTTTTATGGGTAGCAGTGCTTCAGTAGAGGCTACTACACAGATACTCACCCACTGCCCCATCATGTAGCCTGGCAGACATGCTGGCTATACACCTTTCACATGCACCAGGGAGCACCTGAGCTCCCGGCTCGCAGGCAATTTCAGCACAGGTGTGCAGTGGATATTCCTCTAAATCCAGCTTGCTGAAGAAATCCTCTAATGCATTGATTTGGGGAAGAAGACCAAGCTTTTAAAATAACGAGAAAAGAAGACCTGTTCACAACTGTCTCCTGTTCAGATTTCAGTTATAAAAAATCAGATTCATATATGAGAATAACGGTTGAAAAAAGACCGAGTTTAGTTCTTTAAATTGCTTATGACTAAATATTTTAAGATTTTCAACTTATTTAAGAAGTCTTCAACTAAATATAGGGTGTCTCCCAAAAATGTATACTTACTTTGAATGATTATAAAGTCAGTGTTTATTAACATACATTTCATTTTCAAAATTTAAAAGAATCTACAGAAGTGAATACTTTTTTTTTGGTCAATGCCTGTTTTCAAACAGATGACCATTCTGGCCTAGGTACTGCTGATGAGATGAAGCAGTGGAATTGCAAATATCAAGAATCATTTCATTCCTCCATATTTGTGAGCTCTCAATTCATCAGCTGTTGCTGGTTTTGTACCATAAACTTTATATTTTATGTATCCCCTTAAAAAAGTTTAGAGGGTAAATTTTCTTTGTTCAAAGCTTAGTGTGGCTTCATCCATTATTTCAAATCAATTAAATATGAAAAGGAGTGAAAATTATCAGCTTTTAATGTGTGTATACATTTTTGGGGACACAAGGTGGACATTTAGAATAATTATAAAGGCAGTGTTTGTACTTCAACTGCATTTTCAAACTTCCTAGTAGCATTTTAGGATGAATTTCCTTTGTTCAAAGCTTAGTCTGGCTGAAAAAAAAGAAACATCAATTGAGCTATCAGCTATTATTTGTGTATATATGTTTTTGGGACACCCTGTATTTTCATCTATTGACCAATGGCAAAGAAAATAATTAAGCCTGTATCTTTTTACTGTCCTTACTACTATATTTTTAACTTGCTAATAAATTTGTCTTAGATTTGAAAAACTTTTAACTAGACTACTTGTAGTGAGAAATTATGGCTTAGGGCTTTCCATAGTATTATAGTGGAACTCTAATTCCACTAAATTCTTCTTTAAAAGTTTTGTCTTTTTCAATTACATATGAAAATGGTATTTTACATAAAACTATATATGCTTCTTGGATATTCACAAAATAGATTAACATATCAAGGGCTCTGAGAAGTCCTGCAAGAAAGATACTCTTTAAACTCTGTGTTTTCAGATGTATTTAGTCATTTGGTCCTATATTCAAATAATACGAACATCTCATAGAATCAATAAGTCACAGATGCATTTTGGAATTTGCTGGCTTAGAACATACAGCTATTATGGGACAAATGCATTATAGGTTTATTCTCAGAGAAATAATCTATAGTTTAACATCTATGTGAAGAAAAGCTTTCTAGTTATATTTTTTGAGAAGATTTTATCTAAGTTATAGCCTAATACTATCTGAATAGTTTATTTATAGCTTAACTGATATAGTAGCAAATGTGTTGGTACAGCAGATTAATCACACCAAGTTGGTCATTTTGAATGACTGATGGAAAAACAGCATTGAAAATAAGTTTTGATTCAGCAGGTCATGGTAAGAGAGTGAACCCGGTGGCACAGATAAATCTCTTATCTTTTTGCTTTGTCTATACTGAAACTACTTTCCATGTTCCTTTAACTTGAACCCTCTCCAGCCCTTCTCTGTTTGTCCATTGACACACCTGAGGTGGAATTTAACCCTAGATGACTATTTTAAAGTGTCTTCACTCCTTAGACCTCTAACTTCATTTTCCCTGTACTCTCAGCATACGTCATTGTTTCTTAATTCTCTTACGTCACAGAGAAAATAGACCCAGCAAAGGCACTGAGCCCCCTACTTCCTGCTTCCCAAACACCTGTCTCACAGGGACTACCACCTGCCCTTGACTCTCTGTGCTGACCCAGGAAGAAGGACCCCAGTGGAAGCGGTGTCCCTCTGCTATTCCCTCTGCCACCAGGGCACTTTTCTGTGGATTATGCTTTCTTTCTTTAATCTCAACTGGCATTTAAATGTACTTATGCCTCTCCTATCTATAAAATCACCTCCTTGACTTCATTTAATGCTCTGACAGCCAAATTTCTTAAAAAATTGTTTCTTTGTCATCCCTACTGCCTCCTCTCCCATTTGCCTTTTATGCCTATGCAGTACCTATCCTTCCACACATAACTAAATGTTTGGTTCTTCAGGATTCTCTCATCGGCCCCCTTTTTACTCCAAACCCACTCCTAGGTGGTCTTGACAATGCCGTGTCTTTGGTTACCATCTATAGATTGCTGACATGGGAATTTACATTTCCTGCTCATATCTCAATCATGGGCTCCCTATCTGCACAGATATGCACAGACAAGCCTATTGGTTGTCCACAGGTACTGCTAAACACACACACCTGAAACCTGCTTTCCCTTCTGTGCCTGTTGTTAGGAAGTAATGCTGCAATCCACCAGGCTGCTCAGTGTAGAAAATGGGTGAAGGTCATCTCTGCCTCTTTGTCATCAATATTCCACACCCACCCACACCCCCCATATATCAACTCTATCATAAGCGTGGTCAATCTGACTTCTTAAATATGTCTAAGATGTATTTATTGCTCTTTTTCTCCCTGTCACTTCCCTAATTTGGGGGTCACCTAGATTACCATAGTGGCAGCCCAATAGATGTCTCATCTTCTACTCTCCTCCCTTCCCCATCAGTATTCTACTGTAGAGTCATAGTAATACTTTAAAAGGCAATTTGTACAGCTAATCCCCTCCTTAAAACTTTTCAGTGGCTTCCCATTGCCTCAGGATAAAATCTAAGCTTCATCTGTATCCATTCATTCATCCCTTCATTCACTCATTCATTTCTCTCAACTCCGTGGTTCTCAATATGGGAGAACCCTAGGGGGCATTGTGGAAATTCCAAGGGGTGATTTTGGTTGTCACCACAATTGGGTGAGGTGTGTGACTAGGATCTAGTGGGTGGGGATAAAAAATGCTAGACATTCTCACAAAAAGAAAAATAATTCCTTGTCTTCTACAGTAGGTTTTGAATATTCCACTGAAAATCCATGAAGAAGAAATCCCTGTTTATAATTATGAGTTGAAAGCCTTACTCTGTTTTTAAAACATGTTAAATGTGTTTCTAACGCTCCTGCTTTCATGGCTGTCTTGTACATAATGATTCTACATGTATGAGCATCCCCTGGTTCCTTGTGTCTTGTGGTGCATTTATGCCTGTGCATACAGATATCACAGCACATATTATTGCTTTGTAAATTACTTTACTTTTATATTTGCACATTACCTTGATATTATTTGCAAGTTCTGTATGCAGGTAGACTATATGACCTATGAGTTTCATTTCAGGATAGTGAAGAGTGTTATAAAATACTTGTAATAAAAAAAGGGGAGCTGGGGCAGGTGATGTTGAGAACCACTGCTTGAGCCACACTGAACTTCTCAGTTTAGTGCCCTATTGCAGCTCCCAGTACCTCTGATACCATGTTGTCATGTCCTGTGTTACTCTCTGCATCTCCTCTTTAGAGAGTAAGCCTCAGCATGGCAGGGAAGGTACTTGTTGCTTTACACCTGTGCCTACCACAGTGTCTAGTTTACACTATGTGCTGCATGCAAATTTGTTCAATAAGGAAGTATATATACATTTCTAGTACTGTATCTTTAAGTTGATCTTAAAGTACTGTATCTTTAATAAGCTTCTGCTTCTAAGGAATCTGACCCAAAACAGGGACCTTCCGCCTTTTCTGAGATTTCTGACAGTTTGCCAAGATCAGCTTACTCTCTTAAGTTTTAATGACTCTACTTTTTCCAAACACAAACGAAGTGGGGAGAGACGCAGAAGAAGGCCAGATGGGCTAGGGTTAGGGATGACTGCAGCCAACTAGGGGTTAATTATTCAGAGTTATTGGTCTGAGCCAGTTTAGAGTTGTCCATTTTTGGCATCAAACAGATGGAGCAAATGACAAGAGTCTCTGTCAGCTATAGGATTTTGTAATGCCATGGTTCACTTCTCCTAGAAGCTTAGAAGCACTTTCTGTTTACCAAGTGCAGTCCATTCTATGGTTCTAAAGAATGGCAGTTTTATATTCTAGGATACCTAATATACTTTTGACTCCAAACAAACTTTTATAAAAGCACATATTATGTACTCAGGGGGACTGAAAAACAATCTAACTATCTCACTATGCTTGCCAAACAAAAGGAATTTATGCAGAAGGAGCATCCAGGGATGAACAGATCTTTCATCCGGTCTTCTTGGTAATCCATCTTAGTTTTAGATGCAAATGTTAACTTGGCTGCAGAGAATAAACTCTGAAAGGACCAAGTCCCAAGCAGTCAAGTATCGTCCCAGAGCAGTGAAATTGGTGGTGTGGAAATACCTACACAAGTCTGTAATCATAAAATGTGCAGTGATTTTCTCCTACTGGACACTCTGGCTCAGGGTCTACAGGGGACATTGACCTTCCTGTTAAGATCTTCCTGCCTGCCAGCTGCTATGGCATTGCCTGCTATAGGCTCACAGCTGTCCTCTTCTCCAGGAAACTGGGTCTGCCACCTTGTTAATGCACTCAAAGGGGGCCAGGGGCATGCTGTGGTGAGCCTCTAGACAATGACTTGGGCACATGCAGGCCCACCACTTTGCCTCTAGTTGGAAAAAATTATGTGGTGTAATTCATATTTTAGAGCTCTGTGTGGGATCAAGCTGCAGCTACACTTCAATGGAGGCCACATCCTTGCTTTGGTCCTTCCCTGTCCTCTCTTATCCCCCTCACGCCTTTTCTCCTGCCCACATGCCCTCAGTAAATCAGGTGCACCTGAGTTTCTGTCTCAGCTTCTAAGAAATTTGACCTAAATCAGGGGCCTACAGTCTCTTCTGAGATTTCTGACAGTTTTCTAAAATCAGCTTACTCTCTTAATTTTTATATAGGTTTCAGGGTTCCCATACTTAAATAAGAGAATGATTGTTTGAAAACAGATCAGATATATTCTTAAGTTAATTTCATATTATCTACTTATATTATGTACCTATCAAACATCATTGCCATGATTTTGTTTACATGACTG